GAGCTCTTAGGTGACGCAAAGTGAATATGTAAATGGAATTTGAACTGTACTTAGATGGGATCATAGAGATGAGAAAAGAAATTTGAACGGCAGGCCTATGTTAAGATTTCAAAAATCAAGACAGCCGAGAAATGCAATCGTGATGGGGATTTTTTCGGTTCTAATACTCTTTTTTCTAAGTGTAACTCTGAGATAAGAAAAAATTTGATGTTTCATAATTAATTAGGGGTGACGATAATTGAAACATCGAACTAATTAAATCTAATATAATGGATAGACTTTACGATATACGTTGACAATTAATTTGAATCAGCCTTGCAAAATTGCTGATATCTTCTGGCAATGCGAATTATTTAAGTGCCTTAAGCAGCCCGAGGTAACGTTATATTGAAAGCCCTCTGGAAAAACTTAGGTTGATGATGTTGAAATACACCCTTATGTTTACAACGTATCAAGTGCTATTTTACAATTTTCAAACAACATCTCATCTATTGACCCTGCGAGTTTGTTTGAACGATTAAAAATTGATTTACTCCATGGCTGCCCTAAGTGCGCGTATTTTAATGAAAATAATGTGGGTTGAATAATATTTGAAATTTTAAATATGAAAAGGTGAACCCCGCTTTACCTTTTACTTTCAGGGAGCCATATCGTCAAGTTGATCCACATTCTCAATTTGGCGACATTGATCTGAAATTTTATTATGCATTTCTCATTTACTATAATGCAAATTCATTAGAATTTTTCTCTTTCATATAAGTAATAAGTTTGAAAACACATTAGAATGAAGTCGGTTAGATAACGAGCTTTTATTGTGCTTGATGCGTTGGAATTAGTTAACATAGGTTAGGTGCGTCGTTGCTTGGATGCTCTCCTCTGAAAATAGGTATTGCCTACTGGGTACAAACTTCTGGAATTTGAATTGGTGCGAATTGGTGAGCTAGAAATGCGCAAGGGTCATTGCAGCACCTGAAATTTTATTTAAAAAAATATACAAGATTTTTTATGCAGAGTTGCACATAGGTTGAAACCCACTCTTTAAGTACTCATTCCTTAATCTTCCACTTTAAAAGTTCGAAGCAAGGACATTGAACTGAACTTTTTGCGCTAATTTCAATTTTATTGTTTTGAAAATACAAACAAATAGGCTTGCCTTCTTGTTTTAATGAACGAAATCCCCAGAGAACTTTTATTGGTTTTAGCAAAAGACTAAATGGACTAATTTGCTTTCCATTTCCATGCCTACCTGCATTTTTTATGGCTAGAATGAATTGGGATTCCCTTGTAAGTAAATATTTGCCAGGAATAGATCAAGCCAAACGGCCTTCTTTGAACTTGTGCAGACAATGTCAAGTTCTTCATTTTCACCAACAATAACCTCAGACAGGTAAAGACGTGAATGGCAATCTTTGCCAACAAAGCTGAATGCATACTATTAATACAAAACTGACCATTTTACAATATGCAAAAGTAATTATTGAATGTTTTATTGAAATGTTCCAGTCCCATAAAAATACTTTGAAAGTTTCTTAATGATAATTTAATAACACGGAGTTCCAAAGAGGGGAGTGGGAGTGATATTCAAAGATCTTCAAAAAAGGATTGAAAGGCTTGTGGGCTAACTACCTATAAATCAATACTAGAGTTCAATTTAGAAGGGAAGGATTGCTGGACCATTTTATGACAAATTTAAAACAACGCGAAGCACAATTTACTGAACTAAATGGAAAACTATTCCGTTTTGCAATACTTGCAATAATATTTAAAAGAAAATTTCGCAGATCTCTCAACTCTTGAATTGCGACGTTAAAGCAATGCTCCCATAACAAAATATGTATCATATTAAGTTCCATTTTGTTTTAAACTGAAATTTAAAGTTTAAGCCTGGCTCAAGGTTAGCATTTCTTAATTACTCGGTGATACTTTGGGGTAATAAATCTCATCGGTCTTTTTAAACAATCAATCGATTGATTTAAAGCGCATTTATTAAAGGAAAATGTGCACTTCCCAATTAGGGCAATTCATTTATACAAAAAGGCCAAAAAATTTAGGGATATTTGGACTCCTTTGGACTATTGTTTGAATGAGATAGTCTCTTGGCTTTGCATATTTTATTACTTTACTAAATTTTATTATTTTGTTCAAGGAAATGGTATTTTCATATTTCAGAGGGTGATGGGGGGGGGGTAATGAAATGCTTGTCTGACACTGTTCTGCAATCCTTTTAAGGGTGCGTTTTAAATTCACATCTTTATGAATTGATCAATGCGGAGCTACAGTATGCAAATGATTTTATCGCGCAAAAGAACGACCTTGAACGATTGGCTATTATTTCAAGTTATCGAGAGACAAGCAGGCTAACTTAGCGGTAAATGTTGTTCAAAACTCAAAATCAATGGAATTTGACCAGCGAATTCACTGGTTTTCAGGTCAAATTGGGTAATTCTTATTCTTCTTCTTCTTCTAGCTCCCCTCTCCTTTTATTCACCTACAGTAGTATATATGTGATAAAATTAGTCAGTAGGTTTTAGATCATAATTTTCGTACTTTTGTGCCATCAAAGCTGCTGGGCAGATTAGGGGACAGACGAACCTATAAGTACCAATTTGACTGGCTTCATATATGCCAATAATTGGCAAAAGGTTAAGTGTAAGAGAATATGCCTGACTACTTTAACAAATAAGTATTCGCAATGATTATATGCTTAAATTTTATTTCGAATAAAAATCATCAACCCGTATATTGGCATCTATTTTGATGTGATGTATAATATAGTTCTAAGTGCAAATGAAAAATGATGCAATAGACAACTGAATCCCAAAGCCAATATTTGAAAAGTTCATTCAGTGGCACTTTTGAACTGAAGGAAAACATATTAATAAGGAAAAATATAATTTACAAAGTTGAATGGCTTATATACGTTATTTTTAATTGATTACCAACTTGTGGGAATCCGGAAGGCAAAGTGATTGGCCGATTTACTATTGGTTAAAACACATTATCTCCCATAAAATTTTGTTTGAAAAAATATACAAATTTAGATATCAAAAACCTTCTCAAAATTTAATGATAGTCTTCCAATCGCCTCAAATTGATGACTGATTGACATATTTTCTAAGAGGTTAAGGAAAGTAAAACCTCATTTCTAAAACGCTTTGGCACACGCGAGCTTGCTATCCTTTTGCGAAAGTTAAAAATTATTGTTTGAAGTTCTTTCCATTTTTGACTTGAGGGAAGGGGGGTGGGGGGAGGGGGAGTTATCGCAGAGCTACTTTAGTGGGTATTCCAGATTCTGCCCGAATTTACCAACCGCATAATCGGATGCGTAGCAATAACCATTGAACTGACCTAGAATTCGTATATAGTTATCTAAATAGTATTATTTATCACTACTTACACTTATACAATGAAGCTCAAAAGTTAGTGAAGCTAAATGGCATTAGGATTCAGCGTTGGCGAGATGTTAGCAAATGCACAAAATCTGATTCACTAGTGAATAACAGTGAACTGTGCTGACTAAGTCGTCTATGATACACCACTCGAGCTGACACATCTCATCAAGACGTCATTTGATGAATTTGCGATGGTGGCATACCTTCAGCATTGGGCCTTTTCTCTCTCTCTTTCTCACCACTAACGCGCACTACGCACTCACCCAAACACAATCAACCAATCGAATTGCAGGAAACTTCTCTGCCAAAGTACTAAATAATAAATAACTCCAACCACTAATTTTTAACCACATAAATTTTTAGTACACAAGGGTGAGCAGTTGAATTTTTAACCACCTTCCATTTTTCGCTTAAATAATCGCAATTTCACGAACATGGTGAATAAATAGTTAATGAAAACTCTATGTTGTTATCTTAAATACTAACTCCCTAATGCGCCAATTAATTAAAAACTTCATTACCCAACTGGCGGATCATTTCTGATCCAAAAAGTAGACAAGTTGATCATCCATCTATGATTTATTAAAATCAATTTCTATCAACGGATTTCAAATCACCTATGGGTATCCAAATTGTGAAGACCGATAAACGCTACATTTTACAACCTCCAAGGCATCGATGTTAGATGACCGCTTGAAAGTAAGCTAAATACTAATTATTTTATAAATTTTCAATGGTATATCTTGCAACTAGTGGCATTATTTTTCTCTAAATGTTACAAAATTGGAGAATACGATGATTATGCTAAGTGGACTTACCCAAACCTAAATTCATCATTTTCAGAAATGAAGTTCTCATTTTAATATACCAAGTTTGATCTCATTCACATGTTGAAATGAATTTGTCTTGAGGATAAATTATAAAGTCTGAATCTTGGAGCACAAAACGACGAATTAGTTAATATTGCTTAGCCATTGATACTTTGGCGTTTCTCTCTATCTTTGGAACCCCCACCAACAATTTTTATTGTTCAATGCTTTCAAATACAATAAATTATCATATCATTAATAATAAAGAAAAGTATGCAAATCATCACAGGATTAAGAGAAACCTTATGAAATGTTTCAGAATTTTTTGTGCATAAATGGTTCGATTTTAATGACTCAAGTTATTAACTAGGGTAAAGAAATATTATATGTGCAATATAAATGTATTTTCTATGAAATTATCCCATATTTAGAGCCCACTTACTTTCCAATTTTAGATGGATTCAACCGCCTTTAAACCACTGAATTTTACCTGCTATTTTTCTAATTTTAACCAAATTTATGTAAAAAATTAAATTAAAGGTGAAATTATTCCTGCGAATTAATTCATTTTTGATTTTACTAATTAATCCTAACACAAAAACTGACCATAAATGAAAATACCATTTTTTCCTTGCACTCTGCCAAGTAGCAAATATATTGCCAATAACATGACTCACCTTAATCATGCGATCATTAGAATGACTGACATTTGCTGAGGAATAAAGAGCTATCCAGCCACAAATTTAGTTAAAATTGAAGTTTTATCTATTAATGCAATTTTGATTTTTTTTCCTAGACGATGAGACACGATTATAATGCAGATGCTGATCGAATCCAAAATGCGTGCAAAGGCCTAGGTAAGGTCACAATTTTTATTCACTCTGAACTCGCTCACTCCTTGTAGGCACGAAAGAAGATGATTTGATTGAAGTGATCGGCAAACGCAAATTAGCCGAGCGACACCAAATTCGGCTAGCCTATTACTCTAAATACAAGAAGGACTTGCTAGAAGTATTGGATAGTGAACTTAGTGGAGATTTCGGAAATCTCACACGTAATCTCTTCTTGGGTCCAATCCAAGTTATGGCCTATGATCTCTTCAAGATAATCAAGAAGTCTGGATCAGCAGGAACTAATGTAAACGATATTATCTGCGTTCTCAGCCCTACTGAGATTACTGCATTAAAAGCGGCTTATGCGGACAGTAAGTAATTTCGGGAAAATACAAGTTAACCAAAACACTGAATGAAGCTAGCTAACCATTGTATTCATTTTTGTTTCAGTTCTCGCGCATGAGGGAGTGAAAGGTTAGTGAGCCTATTTTATTGAAGGCGTACTACTCGTGGTTTAAATAAGTAGCTATGACACACGCTCTCCCTTTAATAGATAAGACACGCACCCTAGAGAAGGATATTGAGAAGGATACAAAAGGTGGACACTGCGACTTTTTACTCAAGTTTATGAGCAATTATCGACCTGAATTTTCACCCGAGACAGTAAAATCTGCGGCATTATCAGGAAATTGGGAGGGTCTTGTTGATAAGAAACAAATTGAACGATATGTTGCCGCCATCCATGCTGCTGGTGGAGGGTTAGTGGAAAATTTCCAACAAGATTGGGAAGGTTTTGATGTCTCTCACATGCGATCGATTTTCTCTAACTTTTAGAAAAGCTGGCAAAGGCAATGAGACCGAGGTTACAAGAATTCTTTGCTCTTGCAGTACATTAGACATCAGAGCCATTTATGATCATTTCAAGGACGTAAGTACTGTCAAATGGACTTTTAAATTTCGAGGTTGATTGTCGGTTTAAATTCAATTTTGGTCATTCTTTCTTAGGTTTACAACGTGTCTCTGGTGGATTACATTACAAAGGCCTTCAAAAATCCCCTTAGAGATGCTTATAATACAGTTAGTAAGTGGAAGAGGCCCCTTTAAATTCCATCTTATTGAAGTGAGTGTTTGACTAATTCGATTTGCAATAGTTATGACTGCCGTGGATCTCCGGCTTTTACTCGTTGCTCAGCTCTACAATTCCATGCGTGGTTTGGGAACTGACGAACGAGCGCTCTCTCGAATCATCTGCATCCGATCTGAAGTGAGTTAGGATGGGTCGTTTACGCGTTATTCAAAATCAATAAGCAATAAGGAGATAACTAATTGAATTTCAAACAAAAATTGGCAGTTTTTGTGCTATATATAAATATATTTAATATATATTTAAGTTGACCAATCAATTAATAGTAAATAAACCCATTGAAAACTTGCCCAATTTTTCTATTACCTTGATAGTTAAATAACTATTGAAAAATTGTTTAGATGAAATTTTAGAATAGTGCGCAAGATTTGAACTTGTATTTGCAAAGATATAGGTCTCAGATTTTAAAGCAATTGCATGAGGATTTGAATTTGTTTTACTAATGTTAGCTACTTGGAGTTGTTTGTATAATTCAAATGTCTTATTTTTGTTGAATTTTTAGATTGATCTTCCATACTTGAAAATGCTCTATCAACAAAAAATAGGCAAATCGTTGAGCGAAGCAATTAAAAGTGATACATCAGGCGACTACCGTTCTCTACTACTCACTCTTCTGGGGGAAAAATGAGGTCGACACTAGGAAAATTGATTTTTTTGTGCTAATTCAATCTTAATACACATCTCTGAACTCTTCTGCTCCTTTCGAACAATTTGAACCTTCTAACACACAATCCTTACCAAGACCCAGTAAAAAGAGATCATGAACATTCGTTTATATGCACTGACTGCTTATTCTAAGGCGAAATTCGGTTAACTTAAAGGGCTTTAATGTAGCCAAACAGAGGCTGGCATGAACAATGTTTGGAAATGGACTCATAATTTTCCCCCCTATTCTACATTATGACTTTAGTTTAAATTTTTTTACTTCATGAAGAAATTCAGTTTAAGTAAACTGTAAAATTCATTTATAGTAGGGAAATTAAGTTATAATTATTCTCTCCTTTTTTCCTGTTTTTACCATTCATCGCAAATCCGATAAAGGGGCCTCCACTTGATTTTTATCATTTTGCAAGCAAATAAAATCGATTTTTTAGATCATTAGTTGAAGTTTGAGATTTTGCCAATTAATTCGTAATGCATGTGCAATAAATTTCTCGATTGAGTTCGCAAATAACCTCAAGGTTCTTATACCACTTTATTAATCGAGCCCATGACATTCATCTTGCTGCTATTCGGATTTCGGTGTAAGCGGCTTAAGTAAGATAGAATGGAATGAATAGTATAAAGGGACTGTGTAACTTACTCACACATTGTAGCAATTTTCGTGCTTGGCAATTAATACTAAATGAGTTAAATTTCTTTCTAATGAGGTCATAAAATGATTAATGAAGTTAAAAAATATACCCATATCTGTCGACACAGATAAACTTAGGCCTAATAGCAGCTCAATGGAATGCTCCAATTCTTCCCTATGGTTAGATGGGTAAAGCCGTCTTTTCCAAGTCGAAGAAGACAAACGACTAGAATAGAATGTGTGAAGGGATTAAATAAAGACAGATAATGTTTGAGGAGATATAAAGGTTTGGAGGTAAAATGCGAAATAAAGCAAACGTGGGAATGTAGATTCCAGCTCCAATTTTTACTCGCGAAATGTGTTTTTTTATTTGAAAATATCGATACATTTACTTGATAAAACGTAAATAAACGCGTGGATGTTTGCGAAACGAAACGTCTGTTATGAGTTTTATGTGCATAATCCACGAAAATTTCATTTTATGCATTATCACAAATTTTTTATACATGTAGTCAATTTACCACGAAGGCTATTTGTCAATCGCTTAAGTACCAATTTCGTATGGAGACCTTAAACATACTAGCTTTAAATCGTTAAGTAGTATTACAATTTCAAGTTCCTGTGGTATTTGAAAGCTTAAAAATTTTAAAATAATAGTAGAAAAAATGTGATAAGATGTTTTAATTTTGATATATAAAATAATTTTGAACTTCAAATCACTCAGAAATTACTAACTTTAGAGTTAGAAAGCATGCATACTGATGCTGTTACTTGCTATCGTGTGTATTGGAATTTTATCAATTAAACAAATACCCGAAAGGGATCTTGATCTCCAACAGTTTCCTCTCAGTTAATGAAACAGCTGACCTTTCTGGTTGAGATAGGCAAACAACAAGAGTCGAAGAATTCAAAGTTCCAATTTGCCTGTCTCCAAACTGCTACCGTAATGACCAGATTAATTAATCCTAAATGTGTTTGTGTGAGCTGTTAAGAGGTCTTACGTAATTTGGTAGCATTTGTTTCTAAATAATAAAAATACCAGTCTTTTTCCAAACATTTGATTAGGTACCTAATTTCCTTATCTTTGTTAATTCTCAATGCATAGTCAATATTTTCCCAATTAATTAAAGTTCAAACCCTAATAAATCATTGTCATGCAATTAAATCTATATGACAACAAGCTCTGAATATCACCAACGTGAACTCATCCGAAACTCTGAGCGATCAATTCAAAGGGTTTAAGTTTTTGAGTAATGACACGCTACTGAGGGAAATTATACTCATTTATTTTAAATTGGGCAATTCGTCTTCTGTAGAATTAATTTAAAATGAGCAAAATCCTTAGTGCTATTCTATGCTCAATTGCACTCTTTCACTTATGGCGAATATTTCCGTGATTAACCTTGAAACCCATGCTTGATTAATTGTCCTGCGTAAGCATTATCATCGTTACTTGAAGTTGATGATTCACTATTCGGTCTGCGATAGACTTACCTCCACGTGGTGCACCCTGGGCAACGTATATTCATACGGCAAATAAAGACTATTAACCGGCAGTTGACTTCTCACTTCAAACTACCATCACCCCACGGTATGTCATATTCGACCCCTTTCACAGTACTCATCTCACCTTTTCTCTTCCTCTGTGCCTGTCTGCCTCATTTACATCTGTAAATCACTCTTCTGTTCCCCCCTCCCCCCCCCCAACTCGACTTTTTTTCAACTTGATGTTCCTTCCTCTCTGTGAAGCTAGAAGTCAACTAAAGGTCTAATGATAACTATCAAAACGCCTGCCATTTGGTATAAATAAATAAATGATTTGCTATTCAAAATTGGGCTTAATATCAAGTTACACACTTATTCACTTCCAAGTAATTGATACGTGGGTTTCTCAGATAATGTTCAATCGTTAAGGCGCATACGCGCGTACGCGCATACACACACTCGCTTCTTATTGGACAGTAGAATGCAACACCTTCTGAGGACTGGTCTTTGGCATCAACTCAGGCCTTCATATCTGTAATGACAACACCTCGAAAATTCTAAATTACTAAGTGCTATTAAGCGATTGGTTGGAGATAGTCACGGCTAAAAAATGTTATAAATGTCTATTCGGAGTCAATGGAATCGAAATGGAGTCACAAAAAAGTAAATTTCAACAATTTTAATCGTTAATAGAAAAAAATATGTAAATTATTTAAAAAAAATTATGCACATTTAATGGGAAATTAAAAAAACTATCGTAAGTGCTTTGAATAGTGCAGCATTAATGAGATTTTTTACTTCCATCATTTATCCTTAATTTTCAAAAGAAATTTTTTTATTCCATCCTTTTCATCTCAATCGTGATAGTAGATATAAATTTTATTTGGAAAAAAACAATTGGGGGAAACTTTGGCAGAGAAAAAATTAATTTCTTTGTATGTGAACTGTTTTACAGAAAAACAAAGTTTCAGTTCAAATGTGTCGGTGGTGCGTGGCCCAGTGATCACATAGTTCACAAATTACAAATTCCCATGTGTATGGGTGCATGAGAACGTACGAAGAAACAAATTTCACCTTGAACGTTTCCTACTAGGTCCTTCCATGTTAAAATCAAGTCGGCTCTTAAAAATGAAATACTCTGCGACACCCGCATTCATCAATTATGAAGACCAAACCTGAGATTTCACGGTTTGAACATTGGAAGATGAAGAAATTGACAAGACCTAAATGAGTAAAACAAATGCAACCTGAACCGAGGGGTCAAATTTCGTACGAATTCACTCTGATTTGCAATTTTACATGACCTCAGTAGCATACACTGGACCACTAGATTGCGTTGTGTGTTATGGTTTATTTTTCACAATGCAAGATTAAAAATTTATTGTGAATACGCGTCGAATATTATTATTTTTTTAAAGTCACTCTCCAATATATGATAATAAATGGATTGGTAAATGAAATATTTCAAAAATATGATTCACTTATTCCACCAATTGGCTTAAATCAGTAAATAAGAGGGTGGAATTTTGGCAGCCGAAATGAATTAATTACACATGCTTTCACCTTTCAACATTGAAATTTGGCTTGAAATGAGTTGCTTTCTAACTGTTATATGAGGCTTGTTGCACTGCCAAGAGCTTACTTTTAAATTCATGTGAAAATGCTGTCTTAATGCCAATCGGAGTAGTACGATTGATAGAAATGTATTCATCATTGGATTTCAGTCACTACAGTCACCTTTCATTAATAATTAAGTTTCTTTACAGTTCTTAACAAAGAAATTAATTGTGCGAGAGATTAAATTATTGAAAGAATCCGACTGAAATACGACCAATTAGAGATGCGGATATGTAGGTCGTTTTTTCCCACACGAGATTGATTATCGCTCCATTGCTAATCTTTCTTAAAACTGCTTCGATATATGCAAAACTATTGGATTTGAATAATATTTTGTTTGAAAGCAAATAAAGTGTGCAGTTTTGCCAGTTATTTTAAACATCGGTCTAAATTCTTTTGGAGGAAGAAAAAAGGCGTACGCTTGGAACGATATGAATTGCTACTGATTTATATCCCCATCGAGAGGGTGTGCGATAGACTTGCCTCCACGTGGTGCACCCTGGGCAACGTATTCTCAAACGACAATTAAGTCTATAAATTGGCAGTTGACTTCTCACTTCAAACTACCATCAGCCCACTGTGTGTCATAATCGATTGCTTTCACAGTACTCACCTCACCTTTTCCCGCCTTTGTGTCTGTCTGTCTCTTTTGCATCTTTGAATCACACTTCTGTTCCCCTCTCCACTTTTCTTACTTTGTTGTCCTTCTCCTTTGTGAAGCCCGAAGTCTATCGCACACCCCACTCCCAGGATATGCCTGGGTGATTAAATTTGTGTGACTCTGCTTCTACCATTGTGATCATATTCATGGAAAAAGGAGAAGCTATTCATCATTCGATGTCACCATATTTCATCAACTAAATCGCGCGTGTTGAGTTGTCAGAAGTTGACCAATATTCAGTCTTTGTTCTGGTGGCAAACATCTAACAAGTCCGGCTGTTTTTTGTCAGTCTATAAATGGATGAATTAACTTCGCAGGGCTACCGTCACAGAAGTAGTTGAAATAGGCAAGGAATTGGTCGTAAAACCTAGAATCTTGTAATAAAGCTATTTCAATTCGAGGTGATTTCAAACACCATGCTTACGTGAAATGCTAATAATGCTCTCCCGAATGTTAATTTTGGCGAAAAACTAGTTAATTATTCTTTCCTCCTTAAAAAGGTCTGACTAACGCACCGAAATGAAATATTCCTCTCATTTAAATTCTCCTAGAATCAATTACAAAGAGGGTCATTCATCAGCTATTTATTACTTTTAGGTTAAAAGGCAAGAGTTAAGCTTTTCTTTTAATTACAGCCATGTTTTAGTAAGATTACATACTATTAAGAAGTACATGAGAAGGCAGTGGAACACTTTCCCCGCATTATTTAAACAAATCACTTGCACCTATACCTATAACAAATGAATACAATAAGTTTTTAAGTTTACGTCTTGTGCCTAAGTACAGACCCTTTTGTAAAAGATAGTTATTGGAACAAGTTGTCTAATAATAGCTCAAAGATGAAAACACAAATAACATAAAGTGTTTAACCTTGTTTAAAAAGCCACACTTTTGATATACCTAACTGAAAATCAATAGACTGTTTTCAACGAGTTTTACATTTATTTGATTAAGAATTCGTTTTTTTTCCAACGACTATTGCCTACAACCACTACTCCACTTATAAGTTAGGAAAAATATCTTAACAAAAAATTTTAATTTACTGCTAAGAAGGATCAATTTTCATGTGTGCGCTTCTAAAAGCATGATCGAACTGTAAGGCCTCATTAAGGCTAGAAGTCACTGCCATAATCTGATTGGGTGGTTGACGCTCTTTGTGTGAATTGTTGAAGCTACTTGAGTTGCACACAATCTACTCACACAATTAGTTGCTGGTGTTATATCGGCTTGACGCACACGTCTGTTCTTCTTGATTATCTCCAGGCAAGCCATTGTCGCGTTGTTATATCTTATCTGTTTCTTTAAAACCTAAAAAGTTTTTAATGATTTTGGTTTATTTCCTCAGCGTATATATGTGTCTCGTCATTTTCTACCGAATTGTGCTATAGCAAATGACAGAGTATTGACTAATTGTAAATGGATAAAAAACTTATAAAAAATATTTTATTTGAATTAGCATTTTTGAAATATTTAACTCAAAAAGATTCCAAATGTTTTAAAAGCAACGCTACTATGATGCAAACAGATAACCAGAATTGAATAAATTAAATTTTAGTATTTGTCATCTAATATTGATTAAAATGCTCATTCACAAAAAATAAAAAGTAGCTAACACAATAACGAATTGGAAATTCCTTTCTGAAAGTTTCGTTTCGGCATATGGGAAAAAAACTTAAATTATTTTATTTTTTTGTTCTTTGTAGAGAGGTGATGAACCAGTACAAAATCAACACTTGTGGAGCTCCATGCAACCCAACTCTGAAACCTTACCCCAACTTCAACGCCCAATCAGATGTTGAACTTCTTAAAAAGGCCATGGACGGCTTGGGTATGCAAATATCGATTTTTGTAGAAATCAATATCTCAATTAAATGAGCCGAATTTTTCAGGCCATCTTGGGAAACCTGCAAAATCAAACAGCCATTAATTTTATACACTACTTGTGAACTAGATTGAAAAACTTAAATTCAAGGAATAATTCATTTAAAGGGGTAGTGGAAACTGTGAGATATTTCCTTTCTACTTGCATACACTTTCAAATGAGGTAGAAATTAGAGTAAACTTAGTCTTTCCTTAAGATTTGAATTCATTACTGTTGCCATTAAAATTTGTGCACAAACTGAATTCGTTTGCCTATCGTGTGCCGGTAATCGATTGGAGGTTTTAAATAATGAACTAATACATTGCACTTTGGAGCACTTTAGAGCTAGAAATCCTTAACGTACTATTAGTTTATATGTTTCCTCCCTAAGAATTAATTCTCCAATGAAGAACTCGACATGGTTGATTTTCAATTGATAAAATTAGTTGACACATCGTATTCACCCTACTCAACTTGCCAATGTCAAAAGATTCTCGGTTAATTAGATTAATAAAAGGATAACTCAGTGTTGATAATAGGTGACATTTACCTTTTTTCACACAAATTATCTGCTCAAAGTAATTCAGTCGCAATTTCGATCAGAAATAGCTAAAAAGGAAGGCAATGACTCTGACAAAAAATTAAGATGAGCCTTACATCTACCTATCAAAGTGTTTCGAGTAACCGTGAAAAAAATTGATAATAAAAAGCCTATTTAAGTTAAAACAATCGGGAAAAAATTAAGTGAGACATACTTTTTTGTTATGACCTACCTTTTTTGAACTATTGCTTTCATGAAAAGAGTCAATCGATGCGCAGATACAAGGCGCGGATTCTATTCAGTCGTTTCCGTGAAAGAGAGCTTGCAGTCGAGGATCACTAAATGGATTTCGATCGGTTCATACATGAAGATGCGAATGACCTAATTTTACTCAGTAAAACAAAGCGTGTTTTAGTCTTCTAGCACAAAACATCTTCCCTCTACCTAAGTTAGGTGTTTGTAAATTTAGCAGGCCGCTTTTTTAAATCCAGTAGTATGAAATTGCATGGGAAATAGATTTAGTTGCTTTTAATTTAGTCAAAGTACCTATTGCTTTATAATTTTAGGCACTGATGAGGCCATGATAATTGAAATCCTTGGAGCAAGAACGAGCCAACAACGTGTTGCAATTGCCGAAGCCTACAAAGCATCTTATGGAGAGGTTTGTGATAATGAATTCTTTCGAAATCATTAAACACCCATATGCAATAACCTTCTCTTGAAATTGAACGACACCTGTGTGAAAGATAAGCTTAAATGTTAACTTGGAGCATTCTTTTGGCTAAACCTCCAAACTTATGACTTTATATTTATTAACTAACGAAAGTAAGGCATCAAAATCACCCCGATGGATTAAGACCTAAAATTTTTATTTTTCTAAATCAGCAGATTAATATTGACTAAAATTTTAATTTCGTTGCCAAGTGGCGCGTTGTGTTTTTTTTTCTCTACGCGATGTTAATCCGAGAATGCTAAATTAATGATGATGAAAGTAAATACAAATTACAGCTAAAAGCACTATACCCAATTGTTACATTATGTGGTGACAACTTATGGCGAATGGTGACAAGGAAATAATCATTGCGCGATTTTGAGGAAAAGTTAGATTTAATGACCTCAGAAATCATTGTTACTGAGCTCATATTAGGTATTTGAGTAGGCGCAGTGCAAGACAACCAAAGTCAATTACTCATCTTTGACAAAGTGAAAGGCATTTTTGAAAAGAAGTACATTGTGGGGGTGTCACAAGAATTTATCATCCAGGCCTAACTGAACGAGATTTGGCCAAGAAATGTCTTTGTGCATAACTTTAGTGTATAAATTTCGTATTCAAGCTCCAAAATGATATTGGCTTCAATTTGACTAACAATGATACTTCAATGTTTATAATAGAGTCTTCGAAAGAGACTGAAGGGCGAATTGTCGGGTGATTTCGGAGAATTGGTGGATCTCATGTTCTACTCAATTCCAAAACTGAAGGCTCAAATTATCTACGATGCTATTCATGGTGCTGGAACTGATGAAAGTGCTCTCATCGAAGTCATTTGCACCTCCACCAATTCCGAAATTGAACAACTTAAGAAGGACTATGCTTCCGGTTAGATTTGAACTTTTATGTAGCCTATTACTAAGCTTATTTGAAAAAGGACCACCCTGCTTCTCTGCATAGGAATAAGTTTCAAAATTCTTTCCATTTATTATGAAAGAGTATATGTAGTGGTATTGAAACGGCCCCCAAAATTTAAAGCAAATAGTTAAGTCACTTTCCTCTCAAACGTAGAAAGAGTAATGTAAGAAAGCAAAAAATTATTGGATGTTTAGGGTGAATTGGTGGTGAAGAAATTGCAACAAAATGCGAATAAAGTTTTGTATTCTTTTGAGATCGGATTGCAGCATTGACTTAGCCTCAACATGTTTCTCCGGCAAAATCCACCCAATAGTATTGAGGCAACAGATTGTATGGAGTGAATAGTATTTATTGCAACCTGTTATCGATTCCCCCTCAACTTATTCACTGAAATACTATTAATGCTACGTCACCTAGCGTTTACTATTGACTTCTTGTTATCTGCACGATCTCTCCACTCACGACCCAACTTACACGCCACGTGATCAATAACACGTCTCCACCTTGCACATTGTTCGAATACGCATGAAATTCATTTGATCAGCTTTGGCGGTGTTGTATCCTTCATTCAAATAGTCAATAACGTGAGTTCATTTTGGGGCTAAAACCTGCCCTTGTTAAAGTAATTTCAGCAATTAGAAACTCAGTCGACGACGTGCCAAACCAAGATTATGTTCATTTAATTATCGATTAACAGGAGGGGGTCTACTCGATAGCTGATATAAGTAATATATTGCAACTACGCCTGACCATTCAGTCAATTTTGCCCCAATAAATACTACTTCAAGAGTATAATTCTGACTTGATTAAAAATCTCAGTGCATTTATTGTGTAATTTAATTTAATGATTTCATTGAAATCTACGGTACTATTTTTTTTCTAATAACTATTTTTTTTGTAGTTTGCAAAAGGAATGGAAAAATGGGTGAGCAAGTATATACATTTAACCTTCACAAAGTTTCATTTATGCCCATATGACTAGTTGCGGTCTGTGAGAATTTTGTGGTATATTTGGAATTGAACTATATTGAATAGGTTTATATAGGAAAGCGGAGATTTCGATAAGAAGTACCCGTAAAGTAAAAATTTCTCACCATTTACAGCCACTGAGGATTCCTTGGAGAAAGACATTACCGACGATACAAGTGGATACTTCAAACGCATTCTAGTTGCTCTCTTGGCCGCTCAACGTTACGAGCCCACTGAGCAACAATGGAAAGACCTATCGAATCGTGGTCTTGATGCGGTCATTGACAAACGTGCTGCTGAAGCTGACGCTCAGAGCCTCTATAATGCTGGAGAAAAGTACATCTACTTATTTAATATTCAGTAGTTAAGCATAAATTTACGTTCTTGTGAATTAACGACTTCGTATTTTCGATCTATTGTAAATGAAGGAAACTCGGAACTGACGAAGAAACATTCATAAACATTCTTTGCACAAGAGGACCGTGGCAGTTGGCTGCGATAGCTAAGGCATATGAGAAGGTAATATAGCTCTTGATTATACATATTTGACCTTCATTGATGCTGGAATAAAAAACCTGTTTCTATCTTTCAGATTAGCGAGAAGCGTCTTATTGAGGCAATTGCAAGCGAAACGTCTGGCGATTTCAAACGCGCTCTTACGACTATACGTAAGCAAATTCGATTCAAAAGTCTCCCCCATGATTAAAGTCTAATGTTATGTTGAAGACCCAACTAAACCATACAAAATTTTTGAAAAATGCTTTAAGGACGTTTGAGATAAATCGTACTTGACATTAAGAGATCAAATTATGCAAAATCAATTCAATAAACTATGCATTTTAGGATTCTCATTTATAAATTCTTTTACTGGACTCAAAAATTCCTATTCTGAGCATGGGTTTGGTAGCGGTTTAAAAGCCCCAATGGATATCAAAATCAAAATCGAGTATGGTGCTCACTTATTGCAATTAGACGGTGGAAGTTTTCTAGGCAAGAACACTCTATTGTCCTATTATTGAAACCATCAGTCAACCCTTCAACCCAACATGGTAAATTCGCAAAATCTGTTATCATCTTTCAAAAAAAAATTTTGTCAGTCAATGCAAGGATCTGTGACTCTGAATCAATGTTAAGTGTTGACATGTCTTACTAGTCAAATGTGAAATAGTATTGATCCAACCTTTTCAGGGTAACCTGCAATTACTTAAAAAAGGATGTTAATTGGTGTTGCATATCCAGCATTTCTTAACTAACCATTTGTCACTTATGCCAACCATTATAACGTTGTTGCTAAGTCCGTGCTAAGATATTGCAAAGTAGAGAATTTTCAGACTCAGCAAACGAAAAGCATGCTTTCTAAAGTTCATCTTAATTAGATGAATATGAACTTCATTATCGCTTATAATATAAAATATGAAAGAAGGGGGGTGGTGGGGTGGGCAAGTGAAACCTTGTCAAAAATTCGTTTTTGTTTCTTCGGAATTTCGCTCAGATTTTTCCTGTTGTTATAAAACGTTTAACAATCGCGCCATTTTGCCATACCCTAATCAAAAATTTGTCATTTTGTTATTCTTTACTAGTGATGGCCAACATCAACACACCAATGGCTTTTGCCGAACTTCTTGAGAGTGCCATGAGTGGAGCAGGAACTGACGATAAGAAACTCAGGCGTATTATTGTCTGGCGTTGTGAGGTTAGTTTTTTCATGTTCAAGATTGTTCCTCTTACCTTGCTTCAGCATCTCTAACAAGCCACCTTCTCTGTGTAGATTGACATGAAGGAGATTAAGAACTGCTATCTTACAAGATTTAACAGAGAACTGGCCGATGACATTATCGATGACACCTCTGGTGACTATGCTGATTTGCTTTGTCGCCTTATTGGGGCTCAGTAAAACGTTCTTGGAGTACTTCGATTTAATTACAACATACACCACCCCACCCTCTGTGAACATCAGTAACCATGTTTGATCAAAGTCTTTTGTTTATTGTTAATTAAGTAGTACTCAATAAAATGATTTCTTCAGTTTCAGCGAAAAATATTGATATTTTTCCCATTACTTTCGTCAATGGCGTGTCTCTCCGCTTAAAATGTAAATACCAGAAAGGTGACTATGGCGTCTCAAAACGTTCAGATAACTCAGCTTAATCTGTAATGAAGTCGCGCGTATCGTTTTATAGCCAAACTTACTGAATTTGTTTGTTTGGCGTTAACTAAGGTTAACTGTTTTTGCACTCATTAAAGTCTGTATTGACATGCACCATTGAAATGGAATGCATAAAGCAAGCTGAACTGAAAGCCAAATTATTGCTCAATCATCTAAAATACTAGATTCATTGATTTCGAGAACAATTCCAATAGTATCGTTTTTTAGGCATTGTCAAATGTCCCACTTTAAGAACATATGGGAGCGGGGCGGGGGTTACTTCGTAGCCGGCTTTTCTGTCTAGGCTGGTACACTTAGGCCAAATGTCAGTGTCAAGTCTATATTTAATTGGTAAATTGGTAAGCCACTCTCGAGTTGCCTTGGTAGGGTCACTCGACTTGTGAAAAAATCTCATATGTAATAGACTTGACTTCTAATGACACTGGATTCAGTGAGAATGTGTTTTCAATCTAGAATTTAAGAGGCCGATTGAGTAAATTTATGATTCTATTAGTCACATCAACACAACAGAAGTGAGTATTCTTCGAGGGCAGGATGCTTATCAGAGCAGATTTCTCAACTCATTTTTAGTTTATTTAGCAAACGGAACTTTAAACAATAAGATGAGGTTCGAAATATTTTGGTACCGAAGCACATATAAACGACATTTCTGGAGTTATATTTGCATCTTTCAATGTTGGCACATTTTGTTTATTTTGATGATGTATCAGAGGTTCATCTACATGCTAAGGTAGAATCAGAATGAACACTGCAATTAGTGCTCTTCAGAAGCGCCTACATATCTGGTCGATATCATCGAAGTTAGGCGAATGGAGAAAGAATTCAGGGAGCGAATTGAATATCTGCTTGCACGCATTCCCGCTTTCATCTTTTAAGCCAGAGAAATGTGAATTCTTGAAATCTATAAAGTATCTTGGTCTTATTTTTTAACTCAGTAGCACTTCATGTCCAATAAATTCCCAAGCGTTTTGCTTATTCCTGGGGTTAACTACTAACTTCAATCAATTTCCTCCACACTCGCATAAAGTTTGTGGACCATTGAAATGTCACCTCCAAAATACATCTCGACACTGATTTACTGAATGAAAAGATCGTTTGGGAAGAGGAGACCCATGTTGCACTCAGATAAGCCCCTGAATCTATTTAGTCTGGAATTGTAAATAGTCATTGCAGCGGTCACTTCAAGTAACAGTGTAGGAAAAGTGGTCTCACGAATTTTTTCAAATAACTCAGAGAAGGCTGTGATCCATGCACCTCGCTAGCTGTCACTAACAGAAACAAGAATAAACAAGTTGCTTATATGAAATCACCATTATTGATGAGGTGAATAAGTTAGTTAATTTAGACTACTAACGTTACCTCAATTTTCTGACACTACATACACATTTTACGGAGTTTTCGATCCAAGAGAAGCATTTCAACATACTTCACCAATCGTTTTCAATTCTGGACAATAATAAGGGGATACTTTTGAGGTCAAATAACAGATAAGCGGTGTTCTTGGAGATGCTAAGAGATCATAGCTGCTAATCGCAGAGAAACTGACATCGCCAACTAAAAACTCGGTCATGGGTAAAACTATTAAGTTAGTAAAACCAAATGGTTGTCCTCTTCCTTCAAAGTCCACGTGTCGCATTTATTGCACCATCTAAAGACTAGTTATTAATAGGTTTTGATGATAGAGCTATCCCACACTGCTTTATTCAAGCCAAAAGTTCCCCCTCCCCACCCGATAATTTTGCTCTAATCAACTAAGAATAAACTGAATGGAAACTTTAGTTGGGTATGGAAAAAGCCATAGAGCTGCTTGCCAAAGACTATCTTAAATGTTAAAAAGCTGGTTGATATCCTTAACATAAAATGTTGATTTATTCTTTAATGGGGTCACCATGATTTATAAAACATGTTGATTTGGCATGTTCCATCAATATTTGTCTATTAAGTATTGGTGGACCCACACTACAAGTAGAGGAAGAAGTAGCAATGCCATCGGAAAGTTAAAGCGGTTATCAACGCTCTTAGCAGCATCTTCACGATATATGGTTTCAAGATCGACAGTGTAAGTTATTCAAAATTTTATTCTGAATTACAGGACTATACTTCATCTTGTTCTGAGAGAACGAAGAGATATTTCACGATACTACATTTAATAACATTAAATTACATTTAATTATGCTCAAATATCAACAACAGTAATGGTAGAGAGAAGAAGGGAAGATAAATATGCAAGTGCCAGAACTTCATATAGCGATATCGAAATTCGCCGTTAAAATTTAGCGGTATTCAAGGTCATTAAGGAGTTTAAAGAAACGATTTAATAAATAGACGTTATTTTCAATCTAGAATGAAAGATAACGCGTATTTTATTTAAATTAGCCAAAAAAATATATAGAATATGTCCTGAATTCAAAATTTTGTTTGACAGGTGCATTAACCAGAAGCATTTATATCATATATCCACGGAACCTGATTCTATTTTACAAAATCAGAATTGTGTGCTGTTCTTGGCTCGTTTGTGAACTGAATCCATTACTATCAAACCGACAGACTCAAATTGAAGAGCACTTTGTGATTATCATTTTTATTGGTAATAAGGATGAATACATCAGTTATACCTTTAATGCTAACTTTGCCATTCATTCAGTTATATGAATAAGAATGTGAACAGTTCTACTCTGTGAATCATGTTACAAGCCGATCCCTTTTGTAGCTATTAAATCATCCATAAATTTCTGTCGAAAGTTTATATTCAATCAAAATTTAATTTCAGGACTTTGAAGTATCAAATATGATTGGCGAAATAGGTAAGATTATCAAGTCAAATTAACACTTGATTATAATTTGAATGTTCTATGAATACAAAGGTTCTCAAATGGATAAATGAATCATAAAAATAATTTATATTTGCCAGAATATTTAGAGATTGTAAACGAATGCTAGTGGCATACATGCCAACCACGTGCTAGATCGATTACCAGTAGTCACGTGCACAGAAGATCATTTCTAAACCTTCTAACGGGTCAGTTATCCTTAGCTGAAAAAAGACTTTGCAACTTAGACTACCAATATGCGGGAAATCATACACGTTCAACTCGGTCAATGTGGCAATCAAATGGGAGCCAAGGTAAAGCACCTAGTTTCTATATTTTTCGTTTCCTCTAGTTTTGGGAAGTTGTATCAGACGAGCATGGACTGAATTCCGATGGCCTTTACCGAGGAGATAGTGACCTACAGCTTGAGCGCATAGATGTCTACTATAATGAAGCAACTGGAGGTAGATTTGTACCTAGAGCCGTTCTGTGTGACCTAGAACCTGGCACTATGGAGGCTATTCGTTCTGGACCTGTTGGAAGCCTATTTCGCCCTGATAACTACGTCTTCGGAACAACTGGTGCTGGAAATAACTGGGCTAAAGGTCATTATACGGACGGTGCTGAATTAATTGAAAGCTTGCTGGATGTCGTTAGAAAGGAAGTGGAATGCAGTGAATGTCTTCAAGGATTTCAAATTGTTCATGCTCTTGGAGGTGGTACTGGCGCTGGTCTTGGTACTCTCCTTATCGGGAAGATCCGAGAAGAATTTCCTGATCGTATTATTTGCTCTTTCTCTGGCATCCCTTCACCAAAAGTTTCTGATGTAGTTGTTGAGCCCTATAACGCAACTCTCTCTTTCCATCATTTAATTGAGAACACTGACGAAACTTTCTGTATTGATAATGAGGCTCTTTACAACATTTGCAATAGGACTTTGAAATTATCAACCCCTACTTATGGTGATTTGAATCATCTCGTCAGCGCTACAATGTCTGGTGTCACAACATGCCTACGTTTTCCAGGTCAATTAAATGCTGACTTAAGAAAGTTAGCTACCAACATGGTCCCATTCCCGCGATTACATTTCTTTATGCCAGGATTTGCACCACTGACTAGCCGTCATTCCCAACCATATAGAAGCTATTCTGTTCATGATCTCACTGCTCAAATGTTTGACAGCCAAAATATGATGGCAGCTTGTGATCCCAGACATGGAAAGTATCTAACAGTTGCGGGAATGTTCCGTGGACATATTTCTATGAAGGAAATTGATGAAAATATGTTGAGCGTGCAGAATAAGAACTCTGCTTACTTTGTCGAGTGGATCCCGAATAATGTTAAAACTGCTGTATGTGATATCCCTCCAAGGGGTCTGAGAATGTCTGTGACATTCATAGGCAACAACACAGCTATTCAGGAAATATTCAAGAGAATAGTTGACCAATTTACAGCCATGTACAAGCGACGAGCATTCTTACATTGGTATACAGGAGAAGGCATGGAAGAATCAGAATTCGAAGAAGCTAAGACTAATATTGATGACTTAAATAGTGAGTATCAGCAATTCCAAGAAGCCACTATGGACGACGAGGTCCAAATAGAGTCAACTGATGAAAAAGAAAACTAATTGAAGTGAAATTTTAGGTTTCACTCACTCTGTGAATGTATGATTTGAGAAAGATTAATCATCTTTCTTTTATTTTAAGAAAATAAACTACCTACTCTGTATTTACTTCGTGGGAATTTTGTTAGAATTCGAGTTAATTAATTTGAAAATTAAGAACGAACCATGCGTATTATAAAATTAAGAATTAATTATGTGTTTGTGTGTTAAATGCATTAAGTCAATTTGGTTTATAGATCTAACAGCTTTCCAATTATTGGCAATTATGTTATTAAAATAGGATGACTAAACCGTGAACTATTTCTTTAAAAGGCAAAAAATTTCCATGTAAAAATAGGAATAAAATTTACATTAAAATTAATTTGATCTCCATTGTCATTAAAATCTTGATAGTGTGTAGGACAATTATCAAAGACATTTAATAATGGAGCTGACGATTCCAAGTTGAATTGATAGATTTGAAATAGATCGCACGATCTATGTATGTCAAACGGTATCAGATAGTTTGTTATCCGGTAGGAAGTGATTAATAGCCATGCTTTTTCAAGTATACAAAGAGCTGATGAGTGTTAGATTAAAATATTTAATGGTGGTCAAGGAAGTTGGGCCTATGCTTATCTCGTGATTCCAATCAGCTCGGAAAGAAAAGGTGGTACATCTTGTCGATACGTTATTGGAACTTACCTAAGCACTGATTGGAAATAGGACAGATACTTTTATTATTTGCGGGGCACACCAAGGTGTCACCACTGGACAAGTAGCCCCGTGCACACCCAGCAGGCTTTAAAGTGCCGTGCTCAATTTCGCTTAGAGAGCAGGTACGCCTGTAAGCGAAGGGTGCACCCAGCCAATCGCCAATCCATAACCCTTGCTTGACTTATCAAACCCTCCCTCCCCCCCTCATATTAAAATATATTTATTTCAAATGGAAGGCATTTTGATAGTTATCATTAACCCTTTAGCTGACTTCGGGCTTTACGGAGGGGAGGAACATCAGAGTGAGAAAAATTCAAGAGGAGGGAAAGGAGAGTGATTCACAGATGTGAAGAGACAGATGGACACAAAAAGCAGTGAAAAGGTAAGATGAGTACCGGTGTAGTGGTCGAATTTGGAATATATTTGGGGTCATGGTAGTTTGAAGTCAGAAGTCAACTGCCGAATAGTAGACCTCTTTGCCGTAAGTGTATACGTTGTCCAGAGTGCATACCTTGGACATATTAATATTTATTTATTTATATCAAATGGCAGGCGTCTTAGTGGTTATCATTAGCCCTTCAGTTGACTTCAGGCTTCACAGAGGGGAAGGAACATCAAATTGAAAAATGTCGAGGGGGGGGGGAGACAGAAGAGTGTGTAGAAAAAGGTGAGGTGAGTACTGTGAAAATGGTCGAATATAGCATAGAGTGAGGTGATGATAGTTTGAAGT